GGAGGGAGGGAGGGGGGAGGAAGACAAGAAAAGGGGTGGGGAGGTGAAGGGCCACGAAGGCGGACTGAAATGGGAAAGGCTCTATTTTCTTCCTCCCTCAGCCTCCTGATGAAACGGATACAAACGTTCCACGAGAAGGCTCTCCAGTGAACTCAATTTCATGCTATGTTTTACGAAGTGTACTGCAAAACACATCGCTGAAACGACAGCATCTTAAAAACGTCCAGAGCGGAGCAGACGCCCCACCTGCTCGTCACTTCTGTGGTAATCGTTGTCCTCTTCCTGCTTCTCTTCTGCGGTTTCTTTGTTGGAACTGTCATCTGCTTTGGTTTCACCTTTCAGCACAAACAGGAAATGGTGCGTTAGGAGATCCAAAACATTAATCATCGTTTTTAAAAACTCTACAGTCAACTAAAAAAGCTATTATAAATTTGCTCTAATAAAAGACTCTGAACCATAAAGAACACATACGTGAGTCTAAGGGAGCTCACAGGAGAGCCACAAGTGTCTGTGGGCCCCCACTGCGCTCCTCACGGGCAGGGACTCTTCCCGGCTGTTGATACCGCCATTGCCAGGATGCTGAAGGTGCGTGCGTGTGGGCTGGTGGGTGAGGGTGTGTGGGGAGGGTGTAGGTACACAGATAAAGACGGACAGAAATACAAGACCACAGACCAGCTCCCATGTCTCCCACCGAGGGCCAGAGCTGTTTGAACACAAGTCCATGCTTCACACATCAACGTCCCTCATTAGGTAAAGTGGGATACCTAGAATTTTCGTTATTCCACTGTGTTTAAAATTAAGGCTTCACTCTGGGTCAAACGGAACAATTTACTGATTTCCAAACATGCTCCCCACCCACAGCCTCGCCAGGCTGACAGAGAGCACGGTGTCCCACTTTCCCAAACGGCGACACCAACCAGCCACTTGGTGTTCTGCAGACTGTTAACAACACACAAGGCGGCCGACACATTTCTTAGGAATGGCGTGGTGCCTAAGGCATATTTGACTGCTAACCAGAAGGCTGGAGGTTCAAACCCACCAGCGCTCCTCGGAAGAAAGACTGGAAATCTACTTCTGTAGTGATACCGCCTCGGAAACCCAAGGAGGGGTTGCTATGAGTCAAGTCGACTCGACAGCAATGAGCTTGGAGTTTTGCTTCTTTTGGACCAGAAAAATACCATGACCTCAAAGCGTGAAGAATCTGCCATGACACATACAGACACATGAACACGTGCAGACCTATAAACATGTACAGACGCATAAACACCATTACCTTCAGACAGAGACCAAAGGTTACTGTGGCAATTCACAGTAAAACAAAATTTAAAAGCCTTACAAAGTCCACCTTCCATGACTGCTCCCCTGGAACCCAATGCCCCCACTCTCCGATCCAGACACTTCTGGGGATTCCCCTGCCCTTCCCTGTCCTGGAGCTGCTCCCGTTACTGTTACTGAGCAACAAATTCTAACTGTTTTCTGGTTGATCACCCTAGCTGTCAGGTCAGACAATGGCACCGTCCAGCAGGACCGGCATCTCACTTGGCCCACATGCGTGATCCCACCACCCACAGCCTCCCATGTCTCAGGCCAGCCCCATCTTCCCACCAATGCCAAGAGGCTTGGGGACTACATGAGATCACACCACCTTCCCACCACCCAGAGGAAAGCGTCTGTTACTCTGTAACACACACTTCATGAGCTACACGACTGGAAGGAAGCGGCCTTTAGCATGAACTTGCCTCCGCTTCTGCACAACACGACAAGCAGCCCACTCACCGTTCCGATGGGAGTCGAGGTGCTGCTTCGTGGAACAGGTCTCTCCCTTGGTGTCTCCAGGAACCTCCAAGCCCAGTTTGTGGTAGAACTCCCTCTGCTTCCTCATCTCCGCTGTGGAAAATTAACAGACAGTCGTTCATCTTGAGTAGCAATGAATCTTGCGGACGTTCGCTCACAAACAGCATGTGGAGGAAACGATAGGTCTGGACCATAGGTCCTTCAAGCCAGTAAGGAACTTGGGCCACGAGCCCTACCAGGGCACCGTCAGCTGGGCACAGAGGGAGGACTGTGAGTGTCTCTGCTCCGGCCGGTCAGTGCATCCCCCTCTCCCCTCCTAACACGTGTACTGGGGGCTCACAAATACCAGGCACCAAGCAGAGACACACTGAGGTGTGACACAGGCCACACACAGAAGTATGGGAGAGTTGGTGGGACACACTGGTGTGTCTAGGACGCCCTGTTTCTACAATGTCAGGAGAATGTTTCTGAGGGCTGCCAGGCTGGTTGAGATCACCTGACATTGAGGCCAAGATGGGGACGTTGAAGAGAGAAGGAACGGCCCCACGTGCCAACAAGGAAGACTCTTTAGACTCAATGCACATTCGGACATTGAGCTGCAGAATGAACGATCAGTTGGTATGTCACCCTGGCTGTCACTGACGACCCATGAAACTTCACCTTCTTGTGACCTAAGGGGCTCCCGATGGGATCAGGACTTGTGAGCAACTATGAGGCATGAATGCGGCAGCTTATTGATCCAGGTGTCATCCGGCTCATCACGTCCGTTCACATCACCCTTAAAGACCTCTGCCAGCTCAGGAAGGCCCTGTCAGCATCACAGAACCATGGAGCAGCTCTGGCTTGCCTGAGGGCGGGGATGATGGTGATGACCGTGACACGGACAATGATGACGACGGCCGCTACCTCATCCTAATGTGTCCTGTACACCCACTCCTCACTTACCAACATGGTTAGGTTCTAAAGGCCAAGTTGTTAGGTGAGAAGCAGTCGTATGTGAAAATGAAGGGTGACCACATCAGATCACAAAATGGAAGATGACTACATCATGACACAATCACCGAAGTCCATCGTTACAGAACTGCCAAAGGAGCTCTGGTGGCCTAGTGCCTAAGGCACTTGACTGCTAACCAGAAGGCTGATGGTTCAAATCCACCAGCTATTCCTCGGAAGGAAGACTGGGCAATCTACTTTCCTAGTGATACTGCTTTGGAAACCCAAGGAGGGGTTGATCCAACTCCATGGCAGTGAGTTTGGTTTTTGGTTTATAACTGCCAAACCACTGAGAATCATGGCCCCAGCAAGTTGACACATAATCTTAACCATCACAACCAGTGTTATTCTCGCCGTACCGTGGCATTTGTTACTGCCAGACATACGCTGTTAATGTACAGTCACACAGGAGGTCCTTAACGATGGTCCTAAATGGGAAAAGGAGGCTAATGAGACAGTCGGTAAGTGAGGAGTGGGCCTCAATGCATCCACACGAGCGCATCTTCACAGCTGCAGGAACAAGGCAAGCCGGAGGGATACAGAGGCGGGCCTGCCACACAGAACCACGCCCTAGCTGCTGGACTGGGTGGCCTCCCACCCAGCTCGCGTGTACCTTGAAGGGGAGGTCTCCCGGGCAGTGGTACAGAGTGCCCTGGTGTCCACAGCCAGCAGTTACAGCTCGTCTGAAATCCTTAGCCGTGTGACAGCCAGGAAGGAACCCAAGTGCCAACGCACAGGGGAGCTCCCCGCTGCTGAGACCACACTCACAATAGCTGTCCTGTTGCCTTCCGCCCGTCCTGTATTACCAACATCACTCCTCAGGATGACAAGGCCTCTCGGCCTCTACCTGCCCCAAGTCAGGCCCAGCTGGTGCTAGGCTTTACAGTGAGGGCAGGATGGACCAGATCCATGCACACTGCAGGAAAAGTTCAAGTCCGTAAGACCTGGGCTGCTACTCACCGATCCAAGTGGCTCTGTCAGTGAGCCTCAAAGTGCCCAAGGGACAAAGCCAAAGACAACCCAGTCACCATTCAGAGCCAAGCAGTGGGGTAAAGAACACTAACGCCAAGCTGCTCTCGATGACCTCCAGCTTTGGAGCAGACGCATGTTTAGATGACGTGTGTAAAGTACGTCAGAAGCCCACGGGGCCGTGCCAATTCTAGGTTTCTTTTTATTGTTGGTGCAGAAAATTCCAGGACTAGGATATATTTTAATTTTACCCTTTAAAATGTCCTAAGAAGGGAACATGTACTGGCAAAACGGGATTCTATAAACTTTCCTTGTATACTCGTCTAAACCCTCGTTCTTTAGATTATAGTGAAAATGGTTACAAAAGCAAAACAACAACAACAAAAGTAAAAATAAACCTCCCTCTTCAAAGGAAACAACTACCTTGCTCAAACCACTAGGCTACAAACCACACCACAAAAAGCCACGGCTGAGGGGCGGATCATCAGCCCGTTACTGAATGCTCAGTCTGCACACTTGCCTCCTCCTGCTGGGCCACAGCTCCTCAAGAGCCGGGAACACAGCCTGGCCACGGCTGCGACCTACACAGACGTTGTGCAAACACAGTGCTGCACGGGGGTGAGTGTGCCCCCGAGGCCATATGCTCAGATGGTAGACTGCAATGAATTGCTTAGTATGGCTCCTCTAGCCGTGGTCTTTGTGACTCCCACCAAATGACTGGGTGGGACTACGCAAATGTGAGGTGCTTGTGGCCCAAGGGGGTTGGATAGCTTGTTAGTAATGTAAATAGGGTGTTGTCGTCTATTAGATGCCTTCAAGTGGGTTCTGATACATAGTGATGCATTGTACAACCAGACTGAAACACTGCCCAGTCCTGCGCCAGCCTCACAATCCTTGCTATACATGAACCCATTGTTGCAGCCACTATGTCACTCCATCTCGTTGAGGGTCTTCCCCTTTTTCAATGACCTTCTACTTTACCAAGCATGATATCCTTCTCCAGGGAATGATCCTTTTTGACAACATGACCAAAGTAGGTGAGATGAAGTCTGGCCATTCTCGCTTCCAGGAGCATTCCGGCTGCACTTCTTCCAGGACAGATTTGTTCATTCTTCTGGCAGTCCATAGTACTGTCAGTATTCTTTGCCACCACAACTCAATAGCATCAATTCTTCTCTGATCTTCCTTATTCGTTGTCCACCTTTCCCATGTGTATGAGGTGACTGAAAACACCATGGCTTGGGTTAGGTACACTTAGTCTTCAAGGAGACATCTTTGCTCTTCAGCACTTCAAAGAGGTCTTTTGTAGATTTCCCTGGTGCAATATGTCATGTGATGTCTTGACTGCTGCTTCACGGGTGTTGATTAGAGAACCAAGTAACATTAAGCCTTAGAGAACTTCAATCTTTTCTCTGTTTATTGTGATGCTGCTTATTGGTTCAGTTGTGAGGATTTTCATTTTCTTTAGGTTGACGTGTAATCCATGGGACAGACTGTAGTCTTTAATCTTCATCAGTAAGTGCTTCAAGTCATTTTCACTTTCAGCAAGCAAGGTCGTGTCATCTGCATACCACTGTTGTTAATGAGTCTTCCTCCATCCTGATGACCATTTCTTCTTCATGTGGTCCAGCTTCTCAGCTCAGCATACAAACTGAGTAAGTATGGTGAAAGGATACAACTCTGACACACTCCATTCTTGATTTTAAACCATACAGTATCCCCTTGTTACAGGTTTCTCATGAGCACAATTAAGGAATTTGGAATTCCCATTCTTCTCCATGTTATCCATAATTTGTTATGATCCACACAATCAAATGCTTTTGCATAGTCAGTAAACACAATTAACATCTTTCTGGTATTCTCTGCTTTCAGCCAAGATCCATCTGACATCAGCAACGATATCCCTCATTCCACGTCCTCTTCTGAATCCAGCTTGCATTTCTGGAAGTTTCTGTCAATAAACTGTCACAACCGTTTTTGAATTATCTTCAGCAAGATTTCACTTGCGTGTGATATTAAAGATACTGTTTGATAATTTCCACATTCTGTTGGATCACCTTTCTTTGGAATGGGCACAAATATCAATCTGTTCCAGTCACTTGGCCAGGCAGCTATCTTCCAAATTTCTTGGCATAGATGAGTAAGTGCCTCCAGCAGGGCATCCGTTTGTTGAAACATCTCAATGGGTATTCTGTCGATTCCTGGAGCCTTGTTTTCTGCCAATGCTTCAATACCATTGGTTCTTGATCATATGCCACCTCCTGAAATGAACATTGACCAATTCTTTTTGGTACAGTTGTTGTTGTTGTTGTTAAGCGCCGTCGTTTCTGACTCACAGCGACCCCATGCACAGCAGAATGAAACATTGCCCGATCCCACACCAGCCCCACAATCCCCACTATACTTGAGCCCATCATCGCAGCCACTGTATCAATCCATCTCATTTTGGTACAGTGACTCTGTGTATTCCTTCCATCTTCTTCTGATGTTTCCTGCATCATTCAATATTTTGCCCATAGAATCTTTCAATATTGCTCAAGGCTTGAATTGTTTCTTCACTTCTTTCAGCTTGAGAAATGTCTAGCATGTTCTTTCCTTTTGGTTTGCTAATTCCAGGTCTGTGTACATTTCATTATAGTAACTGATTTTGTCATCTTGAGCTGGTCTTTGAAATCTTCTGTTCAGCTCTTTTATCCAGTCATTTCTTCCATTTGCTTTACTACTCTCCATTCACAGTAGTCAGGATCGCTGATGTATCAGATAATGTATAGCACTGGGCAAGTTGGCTGCAAAGGACCTCTTTCAAGTGTTGAAGAGCAAAGACGTGTCCTCGAGGACTACGGTGCGCCTGACACAAGCTATGGTATTTTCAATCGGCTCATTTGCATGTGAGAGCTGGACAATGAATAAGGAAGAGTGAAGAAAAGTTGATGCTTTTGAGCTGTGGTGTTGGTAAAGAATGCTGAAAGTACCGTGGTCTGCTAAAAGAACTAACAGATCTGTCCTGGAGGAAGTGCAGCCAGGATGCTCCTTGGAAGTGAGAATGGCCAGACTTCGTCTCACCTACTTTGGTCATGTTATCAGAAGGGAGTCCCTGGAGAAGGATGTCATGCTTTGTAAGGTGGAGGGTC